GTAGACTTCTCCTGTCTCACCCACTGCTCCCCTCAGCAGTGTATTTCAGTAGATCTGCCTGTTCTGCTCCCCACTCTGTCTCTGGTGAATCCTCTGAAACCCCACACCTCTGGACTACACTCTAGTTCTATGCAAAAATAAATAAAATATTTTTAAAAGTAAATAAAATTTCTGTATACAGTTTATAATTACTACGTTTTATAAGCATTTATATGTTTTCTCTTCCGTAGCTTTGATCCCCAAAAGGGCTTTTGGTGTCAACTTTTGGAAGGAGGAAAGACCAAATGTCTTGGAAAAAGCAAGGGCCGAAAATATCCACCCATGGATCCAGAGGTAATTTTTTCCTAATCTTTGACAAATTCAGGTAAATCTCTGTGCATACCACTCTTTCACAATGACATTGAATGTGCTTCCATTCCTGCTTTTTGTTGGCTATCAAGAGTTGTAATTAATTAGAAAATAGGCAAAGACAGATAATTTATAGATGTTTGTAGAAACTGTGAACTTTGGGAAGCCATTCAGACATAAATACTTACTCCACAGAAAATGTTTCACAAATGTACACTTTAGCCAGCTTCTAAATATTTTAACATTTGGATAAAATATCTTAACATTTTTAGGTATTAACTGTGTATCTAAGGTCTATCGATGCCACTTAGTTAAACAATGGAGGATAAAGCGTTCTGATCACCAATTTTAACGTGTGGTGGGGAGGTTTCTCCACACCTCGAACCACGCTCAGACAACAGCTGGTGTGTCCACATCTGGTGTCCTACAGCTCAACTTACAGTTCAACCATCTGCCCAGAGATAGAATGAGATCCCGCAGGTTAAGGGCTCAGTGAAATGAGAATTTTCCCTTCCCCACTTCAATCCCAGTTACAAGACCCCTTATCACCTGTGCTTCTTCCTGGAGGAGTAACATAACATAGCCTGGAGTTTCTAATGACATCTCTTGGGTTCACTTTATTTTCTTAAGCAGTCACAGATCAGAGAAGCCTTTCTCTTCCTGCATCCCTGGTCTAGTCGAAAAGGAACAGTCAGACAAAAGCGATAAGGTAACTCTTTCAGGCCCTTCCCTAGTGCCCAGTTTTTCCCAAGCTGAAATCTCACAAAACCCTTCTTTGGGTTTTTCTAGATTTTACACTTATGGTTGTTGGGTCATTGGTCAACGCAGTTGATTCAGGCTCTAGGACCTTTGCCTTCCTCAGAGGTCAAGGGGGCGGGACTGAATGTCTGGACCATCTAATCCCACATTTGTTCCTCCAGGCAACTGGCCCTCTTCTCTAGGTGGCATCCAAAGGCCACCTTCTGAATGCAACAAAGACAGCTTTGTGGTCTCTCTCTTAGGACATACCAGGTGTTTTAGAGGTGTGTCGCAGAAATGAGAGTGTTACAAATACATATTTCTTGTTATAAATTACAGTATTGGGCCCTCCCTGGTGACATAGCGGGTTAAAGCACTGCACTAAGAAGTTGAAACCACTTCCGCATGAGTTCGAATCCCGCCTGCCCCGGAGGTGACCACATGGCGTGCAGACCTCTCCTGACCCGCCCACTGCTCCCCTCAGCAGTGTACTTTCGTTGATCTGCCTGTTCTGCTTCCCATTCTGTTCCTGGTGAATCCTCTCATCCTCCCCATCTCTGGCTTGTACCCCAGTTCTGTATGAATAAATAAATAAATCTTTAAAAAATATATGAAAAAAAATAAAAATAAATTACAGTATTGGTTTATAGTTGTTAGTTGATTTTAGTTTTTATGTTGTTTTTTTAAACAATTTATTTATTTATGTATATAGAACTTGAGTACACACCAGAGATGTGTGGGAACGGTGGGTGAGAGGATTCACCAGAGACAGTGTGGGGAGCAGAACAAGAGGATATACTGAAGTGCACTGCTGAGGGGAGCAGTGGGCAGGTCAAGAGAGGTCTGCTGTGCCATTGAACTCATGCTGTAGTGGCTTTGATCTGCCTAGTGCTGGCTTTAACCTGTTGTGCCACCAAGCAGGGCTAGTTTTTACTTTATTACTTTATTATTATTTTTTTAATTTTTGATCCCTTACACTCCTGCTATGAGTGAAACCATCTGATACTTTTCTTTCTCTTTCTGGCTGATTTCACTAAGCATGATCCCTTCCAGCTCCATCCATGTTGCTGCAAAAGGCATGAGTTTATGTTTTGATCACACATGGGTGAATTGGTGGTAGAAATCCCAAGGGATTACAACTGAGATGAAAAAATGTACAGAATGAAGAGTGATGTTTTATATATATATAAATTACAGTATTGTGGAGTAGCTGCAAGGATCCAATAATTATGAACCCAGATTTATTTTATGATTAGGGTCATGATTTACCATTATGTAAATAAACAACAAGAAGGCAAAGACAAATATCTCAATAGAAGTGATGTTATGAGGGAAATGTCTTCTGCAGACTAGGAGTGGTAAGCCAGCTAGTCATCAGCTAAGACAGATAGAACGAGTATCTCTCCTAAGAAAAGTTGGGCAAAGGGAGAAGGAAGTAATTCAGTGGTTACTATGGAAATAGAAGCATCAGAAGGTCCTCAAATTATACCTTTGAACTCAACAATCCCAGAAGGGTTTCACTTGAGTCTGCCAAGAAATCAGTGTAATGTTCCCACCTCCTTCTATCAACATCTTATCCAGAATTTGAAGTGTTTACAATATGGCTTCAGGGAAGAAATGTAATGAAATACCTGGTGAATAGTACAAGATGAAATGCAGTTGTCTTAAGTCCATTTCCACAGTATACACAAACGTTGCTAAGGGAGTTTTATGAAGAAAGGCTCATTTATACTAAAATATTGGAAAGGGCTTAAGAGAGATGAGGAGATGTTGACCAGGTAGAGAAGAAAGATTGGCCATGAGTACTCACATTTACAGGGAATAAGTGTTACCTCTATTATTTTATAAATAATAAATAAATAAATAAATACAGAACTATGTTCATTAGTGTCTAATAAAAAGTAAGTGATATTCATAGGAAAAAAGTTTATAAACGTCTGTTTTCCTGGGAAAAGATACTATAGATATAGTTGATAATCATTTTTTTTTAATTTATGCATACAGAACTGGGGTATAGGCCAGAGGTGCAGGGGCAGTGAGAGGATTCACCAGGGACAAAAGTGGGGAGCAAAACAGGTAGATCAATGAAATATACTGCTGAGGGGAGCAGTGGGTAAGACAGGCAAGGTCTGCTGCATCAGGTCGGTCACCTCCGGGGCTGGGGATCAAACTCGCACTGAAGCAGCTGCAGTGGGCTTGCAGTGCTGTGTTCTTACCCATTATGCCACCAGAGAGGTTCCTGATAATCATTTTTTTCTAAGAATAATTTCTCTAATAAGAACAGTCTTTTAAGTTGGTGTAGGAATATAAGATTTCCATAGAGAGATCATAGTAATGATCTTTGAAATAAAACCTTAACTTTTTTTTTTTTAATAGAGAGCACTTGATGATTTCAAAAAATTAGTTAGGGGCCCTCCCTGGTGGCACAATGGGTTAAAGTGCAGCACTATGAAGCTACCGTAGCCACTGCAGCATGAGTTCAATCCCCAGGCAGGTTGTGACCCACATGACTCAGCAGACCCCTCCTGACCCGCCTGCTGCCCCCCTCAGCAGTGAATTTCATACATCTTCCTATTTGCTCCTCAACTCTGTCTCTGGTTTCACTGGTGAATCCTCTCACCCCCACACCTCTGGCCTGTACCCCAGTTCTGTCTACATAAATAAACTAAATCTTTTAAAAATTATTTAGGCCATTATTCCAGCTTTTATTTGTATTTATATTTTAAAGTCCTTAAAACTATGATATATAGTTGTACTCATTTTTATTTTGCAATGACACTTCCACCAAATCTTTCTCAAAAAGTAAAAATGAGTGATATCTGAGAGGAAATACAAAAACACACGTATCTTATAGACACCTATATTGCAAGAATATACCTTAAGAAGCACAGATTGCACAATTTTATCTAATGAGCTAGTAGATGTCTTCAAGTCTTCTTTTTCTCTTTTTCCTTTCCAGTCTAGAACCTTCCTCTCTAATTACTACCGAGACCATAACGTGGAACTGTCCAAGCTGCTGCACCGGCTGGGGCAGCCTCTGCCTTCGTGGCTGAGACAGGAGCTGCAGAAAGTGAGGTAGCACCAGAGACAAGAACCAAGGCTCACCAGATACTGATTTGTACTGTTAAATAGAAAACTAACCCCGCACCTTTTACTCCCTTACTGGACTTGCGATGTCATCAAAGGACTATGTGAATAAATGTCCTTCTATCTTTCTCATACAATGAAAACTGTTACATAGGCTCGAATTTGCAATTACTAGCACCCATCCCTATATGAGGTTTGGGGAAACAACCTGGGGGTTTGGGGCATTGTCAGGTTTTCCATGTGGGGATCATAACATAGTGCATTCCTCTGTTAACCTTAGGTTTCAGAAACTATGTATGACTGAGACTCCTGATTATATGCAAGTGACAAATTGGATTCTTGAGGAAAAGATAAGGACTGAGGTATCTATACATGAGGTTAGTAGTAACCCAATTTCTGAATTAAGGGCTTACATTTCCCTTTACTAATTTAAAAGTAATTTTGCTTTTCTTCTAAAAAGAAATTATATAACCCCGTAGTCTTATTTGAAACAGTTGTTATTTATTCTACTCTGTCCACATACATATTTCTGCTGTGTGTTACTCCTTGTGTGAATTTCTTCAACTTGCTGAAGAAGTGCAGTTTCGGGTCCTCTATCTGTTCTCCTCTTGTAGTGGGGAGGGCTAGCCGAAAGCTTCCAGATCCACTAGTGTTACCATTTTTCTTGGCTGGACATGCTATTTTCAGTAAAGGTTGCATTACGGTTACAACTAAATTGGTGAGAGTTTTGGAGAGAAAGAACTTTAGTGCAGATTCTGTACAGTATCTACCAGGATGTGTGAGGTCATCTACACATGAACCCAAAATCCCTCCCCATCCCCCAACTATTTCAATCTGGCTATCTCCACCTTGATAATGATGCTGTATTTATATCTATTTTTCCACTATCCTTGGAGGAGAAAAGTGCATTGATAGGCTATGAATGGGAAGCACTAAAGTATGTTTCCTGGTGTATGGAGGCATATGTGCTCTCTGGGGACGTGTCAGTCTTTTCAAAGCATGGACCTTTCATCTGTGACAGTGCATATGCTAATGTAAGGGCTGTAAACATAAAAAATACTGTGTATGAGAAACAGGAACGTGACTTTAAATGTAAAGTTGCCTCTTCCAACATCACAAATTCTCTCACCTAAACTCCTTTCCTGCTATGCCACCCAAAAGTTACTTTCCAGAGAAGGGATGCTCTTTCTGGCTCAGAGGAATATCGTCATGCTACCTGGATTCTTACCCCATTTGTCGGTGAACATATGTTAAGGCTCTGTTCATCTTTTCAGTGAGACGTGAGGGTAAAATTTAAACAGACCGGTAAATCAAACGAGTTTAATAGCGTTTTCCATCAATCCACTCTTCCTCCAGAGTAATTATTGTATTGGTTGTAAGTAATAATACATTTTCCTATAATTTGAGAAAATATGCTTCACCAGATTCAGCAGGAAACTGACCTTTGTTATTTGTTGCTGTTTGTTCTGGTTTTCATCAAGCAACTCAAATCTAAAGAAGAATCAAAATATTTACATGTTTTATTTCAGGTTGATTTTGCATTTCTACTTCTTGAAGACTTTGCTTGCTTTCCTCCTGCGTCTAGAGGCCTTACTATCTTTCAGTAAATTTAAGATTTTCCTTGGTCGTGAGTTAATACAAGCCACAGTTTCTTTTGTTGTTCCTCTCTTAATCGTGGGACCCAGACCCTCAATTTTTTTTCAGACCCTCAATTTTATTATTGTTGGGGGTGACTGTCTGCCTCAGAGGGCACGCAAACTTCACCCAGACTGTGTAATTAGAGCTCTAGTGTTATCTTTGATTGGTTTCCTCTTCTTTATTATTTTTCTGACTTTAAATAGAGATCAATTTTTTTTTCCAAGTGGAAAAAAAGAAGTATTTATAGAAGAGAAGAGAAGAAGTATCAAATAATACTCATTTCATGCAATTTTCCACATCACCCCTAGATTTTTTTAAAATGTAACTCATTGTCTTAGTTTTTTCCTAAATAAATTCAGAATGAATTACTTATTGACAGAGATAGAAGATCAAGATGCTCTAAATTTAACTGGTTCATTTTAAAGTTTATATATATTCCATATTAACTTTATAATGAAGACAGCAAAATAAAGTTTAGTTAGGTAATCAATCTACATCTTATAATAAACTACTTATAGGCTATGAGAAGGTTATAATAAGTCAGGAAAATTTCAGTTTTAAGAGTATCTTGATTTTCTCAGTTTTTATTACTGACTGCTTCAGAATTATTGATACAAAATTTTAAAACATATTAATTTTAATGACATACTATTTGAAGCTATCACTGTAGTTTCTGAGCAAGTCTCCTGCTTTTTTCTCTCCTCCCTTTCTTTATTCAAATTTCCTCATTCAGAATAATTAATTGTGTCACATTAATTAAAGGTAGGAAGAATATTTGATTATAAGCCTACATCAAAATGTAGTATATGTTTTAATTTTAATTCCTAAAAATTATTTTACAAATCTTATTCAAAGCTGATTTAACAGCATTCTAAAGAGCATTAAATAAAATATAAGGAGTGATACCAATGAGAAAAACTTCTACTCTAGAGCTCTGTTTTTTTAAAAAAAATAAAATTACCTTTTGTCCTAGAAGAAATTTTATTGCCTTGATTTCAGGCAACATACTTATATTTACCTTAAGTAGTTTTCATTATTTTATCTCTATGTTTTAACATAATATGAAGTCACCTGTTTACTATGAGAATTCATATTTTAGTTACATAATTTATAGTGAAATAATATCGTTAAAATGCGTTTTGGTGGCTAGGTGAAATATTAGTCATTTGCCACTGAGGTACCTAAAAACAATGCTAACCCAGGATTTCAAAAAGAAAGAAATTAATTATTCTTGCCTGTAGGCAAATTAGCTGTGTGTGTGTGTGTGTGTGTGTGTGTGTGTACCATGGCATATATACACACAAAGGAATATTTTCTGAGTGAGCAGGAAAACTTGAAGGACAACTGATTTGCTTACTAAACAGCTGAACTAGTAACTACACATCATTAATACTGCTACTGATATGACCATTAGAATAAATTCCCCTCTAAAACACCAAGGTGTTTTATGGGACAAGGCAGCCAAGTGGTGAAGGTGATGGACCTCTAACTCCCCAAGGTCTTAATAAGTAAGTGAAACTTTTCCTTTTCTTTATTTTCACTAAATATATAAACATCTCCCTGAATTCCAAGTAAATGTCAAGTTTTGAGAGTGAACTTTGGGTATTTGGGTTCAAATTCCACGCCTGCCTCTCACTATCTGTGTGGCCTTGCACAACTTGTAGACCTTCCCTGAGTTGGTTTCCTTTGTCTGTAAAATAGAGACAATAAAGTATTATGCATTGGGTTATTGTAGTCCTGAAATAAGAATATAGTTAAATAACTTAGCACAATGCCTGATGTAGTTATGCTAGAGCAAATTTGTTACAAATAGAATATATAATATTCAAACCACTATCTCCTTTCATCAAGCAAGTATATGTTTTTCTACTCCCTTTAATAATAAAACATATATCTTAACATGATTAATTGTATTTGGTCAAAATGAGAAACTCTCTCCCGTCACTGTACATTGTTCTACTGTAATCAAGCCATCCAGAAACAGGAAGCTCCATCTCAGTCTAATACTATTATGTCTATTTGTCCTCTCCTCCACTCCGTTTTATCATTTCATGTAGTTAAGCTTCCCTGTAACTTCTGCTTGTGTCTCTATCTTCAGTGCCTTCAACAGCACAACAGAAACTCTTATCAATTATATTAACTAGAGAGATACAACTTCTTATGTGTGGTCTTTCTGTAGCTGGAGCTTTGTGGATTCTGCTGCCTCGAACACTTTTCGACCCTTCTGCAACGGAGGTGTAGGAACTGGCCTTCTGATATGCCTCACTGAGGGAGTCTTCTCCTTTCTCTCCAAATCCTTCATGCCCTAGCCACAGAAATATCACACCTCTCAAGAGCTGAACACGGGCTATCGCTTTAAGTTGTACCAGAAATCTTCCAGTTCCCTTGCCATTAGCCATCAAATATGTGGGTAATAATGATAATATATTTAGAATTATAATCTCAGCAACTGATTTCATACTTTGAGATGACACCATTATTTTTGCACCTGCAATATACTATAAATTTTCACATCTGTCAACATGCTAAACTGCAAATTAAGAAGACAAGAGTTGTCTTTATTTTCGTATCTCTTATACATAGCCTAGTGTCTGACACAAAAGAAGTTACTGTTAAGTGAATGTATGTATCATCATATGTTTTCACCAGTAGAAGACAGACTTCAATTAGTAAAAATAAAAATGACAGAGATAGTCATTCTCACATTTATAGCACCAAGATATACATCTCAGCACAATTTAAGAGGAATTGCCTGTTCTCTAGAAGTGTCTCTATGTTTCTACATTTACGTTGTTTATTCTGCTTTAATGAAACCAGCCACACAAACTAAAATTAAGCGTCCTCCAACACACCAGGAGTTGACCTGCATTCAATGGTTGTTCTATTATTTTTTCCTACAAATGTGTTTGTTTATAGTCAAACAAAGCTCAAAGTTGGCTGTATTCGTTGGACTTCAAGTGGAAAATGAGCAAGACTTATAAACAGACTTTGATGTGTGGAAGGGCACACGGAGATCGCTGGCTTAATATTTGACCACTGAAGCTTTTGATGTTTACAGATTTTATGTTCTACTGACAGAAGAAGAATGACAGTTGTTTAGTGACACATGTAAAATGTCTTTGTAAGCACCACCAAACAGAAGGAAATATGGGATTATTTGCCACTTTTTTTCTGAATTCAAGTGGTGCTAAAATATCTCCAAAAAATCAGATATATCCATGTGAACACAGTCATTTCTAGAATTGACCGAATTATTTAAAATCTCCGGTCTCTTTTTCATAAATCTAAGGTGCCTTTTCAGAAATCTACAACTATGCCAGGAATAAGACTAACTACATGGAGCAAACTAGTTGGCAAGAATACGAGAGAATCGCTACATTCCTGGGGCTATTGATGATCATTTCAGACCCCATGATTGGGTATAAAAGAGAAAAACCACCATAAGTTGTGTAACTGTCAACAGTGTTCTCAGAAAAGCTGGAAGAAATTTCAACCGTTTCTGGCCTGAACCAAGCAATGTCATCTTAATACCTAAGGCTCACATAGATGCACAGATGAGTGTGTATCGGAGGAGGAAATTGTACGTTGAGTATATATGTTTCCTTGTACTTTGTTTGTGATGAAGATGAATCACAGACGAAGACAGAGTGGGGGGAGTTTTAACAAGTGGTGACTTGTTAGCAACCCACTGAGCATTTGTGGTTCTAACCCAACAGACTTTGGTTTCTCTACATCACCTAAAATAAGCTCTTGTTCCCCCTGTACTCTACAAGAAATGTGATAGTAGTATTTGTGTTTTTGTATGTTTAGGTAGCAAAATCTGTATATAAAATGCTCATATGCCCAGGTCACCCCTAACTCTCTTTCCATGTCCCCAGGACATGGCCTGAAAATCAGAGTCTTACCCAGAAGCTCTTTAAAAAATTAAGTCCATCTGGAGCCAGGGTCACACTCAGTCCTGGTTAACCTCCTACTCACTCATTGCAGGAGGTTGTTAGCCACCTGCAATTTTCTCCTCTTTACATTGCAAATACTAGCAACACCTAGCCCTTGTGTGTTGTAAGAATCATATGTGAATTTAAGTATAAAAGCACCGAGAATAATAGTTGGTATGTAGCCACCACGGAAATACTGCTCACTGTTATTAATAGGTATATAATACACACATGTAAAACTGTTGCAAAGTATTGATTTCATATAAAATTAACTTTGTGTATTTTAAACAAAAGACCAAAACCACAAGGTGACCATGGAAAATAACAAGGTATTTCTGGGCAACAGCTACACCATTTTAAATTCAAGTTCTGTGATCTGTTTACATGTGCTCCACCCAGTGTTAGAGCTTCTAAGTTTCTCTATGTGAAGTACTGAAGATAGAAGCTACGGATAGAGCATGATCAGTGAAACTGAAGTCTGAGGTTGACAAGGGAGTAAGTTATAATACAAAAGTAAAATAGCCTCATGAAACTCAAGTCCACCCTCAAGGATGTTATTACTTTAGCACGGTGAGAAAACGACACAGTAGGCTGTCATGTTTATAATGAGTCGTATAAAATTATTTAGGGGATGTAACTGAGGTTAAATGGAAAAGAGACCAAAAGTACTCCAGGAGACCAGAAAATATCAACTTGAATTTTTTTTTTCATTAGGTAGTCTTTCTTTACATATTTGTCTGTGTAACTACATACGACATTTAACTTATTATTTATAGGATGTTCAAATTCCTCTTGTGGTTCCAATGTCAGTGATCTTCAGACCACGCAATTTGAGGCTTGGAAGAATTCAGACCTCAAACAAAGGAAAATAAGTCGAGTCTCAATAAATAAAGCATTCCATAAATCCCAGGCTATGATTCTTTTGCTATCTTGTTCAACATGCAAGGATATATGAAACAGAACGCAATAAGGTTTAGAAAATCAGCTGATAATTGAATAGACCACTCCAAGAATATTACTAATGAGTCAATGTCTGTCTAAGAAAAGAAAATCTTACCAGCTCCCTCCTCAGTATTGTTCAAGAAAACTTTTATAAAAATAGTCATGTGAAGATATAAATCAGAGGTACTGATATTACAGTTTGCAATATACTAGCAAATAGGTTTCCTTAATTGCATTTCCAGTTCCCTGGGATGTACATCCTACTATTTTTCTATTTCTAACTGTCTAATTTTGAAAGCATTGGGATTTATGGGCATTGATCTGAAATTTATCATTAAAATAATCTTATATAGGGTAAAATTGGAAGGGATCTAAATGTCATCAGGCAATGTTACAATCTCGGTTCAGCATGAATAACATAGTTAAATACAATTTCCTAGTTTTAGGTTCAAACATCCAGCTGCTCAAGAAAAGCGATTTTAGTTCAAGTTAATGTGCTAAAGTAGATAAATTTAGTCCAAGCTCATGTGCTTTAGCAGATTAATTCTGAATGCTTAATAGCTCAATACAAACAAAGTTTATTTTACACACACATAAAATATAATCAGTGGTGAGGGGAGAGAGGAAAAGAAGGAAATTTTTTTAGTAGTTTATTTTTACATTATTTTGTGCCTTTTCTCATCTCAGTTGTAATCCCCGTGGGCTTCCCATCACCAAATCACCCATGTGCCATCACCGTAGTCCAGTGCACTCCCCCCACCCCCCGCCATTTTTTATCTCATTCCTCACTCCACCCCTGTAAAATGTGTCTGATATATGGTTGTTTATTGTTACTATCTTTTCTCCCCCTGCTCCTTTATGCTCCTGCTATGAGTGAAACCATCAGGTATTTTTTCTTTTTCTTTCTGGCTTATTTTACTAAACGTGATCCCTAGGAAGGAAATTTTACTCCTCCTTGTTATCCAGAAATCCTGTCTGTTTTAGATTTTGATTTTTCAAACACAAATATGGGTTGATTATTACTATAAGCTTGTAAAGTAGAGCAAGTAAGAGTTATAAACATATAGGCATAGTTCATGAATTTATAGTAATATCCGAGGCTTAACCCATATTAAGTAGGCCAGAACATGGTGATGAGACCAGATTTACCAGTCAGAGTAAGAAATATAGTTCAGCTATAGGCCAAGAGAAAAAGAACACAGATTTGGTAAACAGCCTGACATTTTCTATTAGATTTCTCACTTCCAGTCACCCAATAACTATTGTACTCTTCTAAAGCATACAACACATTTTCCACATTAATTTTTTTTTATGTATATAAGGACTGGGGTACAGGCCAGAGATGTGGAGAGTGAGAGGATTCACCAGAGACAGAATGAGGAGCAGAATAGGCAGAGTGAAACACACTGCTGTGTGGAGCAGTGGGCGAGTCAGGGGAGGTCTGCTGTGACTTGTGGGTCACCTCCCTGGCTGGGAGTTGAACTCGAGTTGCAGTGGCTGTGGACAGCTTCATAATGCTGTGCTTTAACCCATTATGCCACTAGAGTGGCCCCACATGTCCGTTTTCCATGAGGAAAATAGTACAGGATCTATCTGGTCACTTCATTCAACTCAGTGTAGAGTCGCTGTGTGGTGGGCTGGCCTCTCCCACACATGCAGACACAGCTCCCCAGAGCCCTGGAGGAGACATCTTGCCCAACAAATATACAAAGGTAGCCCAAGCATAATCACCTAATCAAAGTATGATGATTATGCATTTCTTCCAGGAGGGTAGGGGTTAATAACAGTGGGGATTACTTTAGAAACTAATTTTTTCTACTCAGAATAAGTCCCTGGATCTTTATTTTTTCTCCTGCTTGCTCCCATCTGTACTGTACATCATTCTCTCTCTTCATTTTCAAAATCTGTTCTTATGGTTTCTTGACCAATATACTAACCTCAAAAGCTCCATATCTCATCTAGTTATTTCCATCCAGTTCCATATGGCCGTGATTATTGTAGGGGCAAGGGGGAGTATTCTTCACACCAAGGATCTACTTTCTTGACCATGGCAACCCAGACTGCCTTGTATCAACATTCATAAAGTGGAAGAGACAATACAGATGGAAGCTTTGAGGCTTTCTGAGGGAGATGCTTATCACTCTGTGTTTGCTGGTCAGAACTCAGTCCTCTCACCACC